CGTTCCGAAAGCTTCGATCAACTAGCCACGCGAGAGCACTGTGAATACGTTGGTGTGCGTCGAGTGTCCGTCTGGGCATGTCAACATGAAATGCCTGCACGCCCCTTGAAGCAGACATGAGCTTCCGAGCGTCTCCTCGCATGTAATATGAAACAATATTTGAACCAATTGGAACGTTTGACGATCTCACGGCCGCCAACAATTGAGTCATTTGATCGGCGAGCGGGTGAATCAAGCAAGGTTCTGGCTTCTCGCGCAATGATCTAAGCACGTTTGGCTGCACTACAAACAATGCATCCGTTCCCTCCTGTGCAACTTTCGACTCCCGAGTGCGAGCCCGTTTGCTATCCAGAGCAGCCCGCGCCACAGCAACATTCGCCCCACGTTTGTTTCGGGGCGCGATCTGCTCGTCAAGGGCTTCTACGTTCATGATGTGTTCCCGATAAATACATGAAAGTCTTGAGCCCAAATGGCTACGGCAGGAGGGGGCAGTGCGAGAACACACGTGGTATTCGCATTGCTGCCACCTTCTTTTTGGTGCAAGCTCTCCCTGGCGAAACACCCAACCACGGTCACGACGGACCCAACCGCGGAGCTTTCCCTGGCGAAACACCCAACCACGAAGCTTTCCCTGGCGAAACACCCAACCACGTTCGCGACGGACCCAACCGCGGAGCCTTCCCTGGCGAAACACCCAACCGCGAAGCTTTCCCTTGCGAAACACCCGGCCGCGGTGCAGCCTTTCCCTGGCGAAACACCCTACCACGAAGCTTTCCCTGGCGAAATTCCGCATGCCCCTCATGGGGTCTTTGGCATGTTTGGAAGCTTTGGTTGCCCATGTAGGATATAGGTGATCTTTGAAAACTGGTTGGCTTTTTGTAAGCTTTTCGGGACCTTTGAACGCTTTGGGGGGTCTTGAGATCTCCGGGTGGTCCATCTTGGATTCATTGAAGGTGTTTTGGGTTCTTTCGGGGCCCTGGGGGGGGGGGCCTCTTGGACTTTCTTGGTGGCTGGTATACTCTTGTACACTATAGAGACTTCTGGGAGCCTATTGGAGCTTCTTGGGGGCCGCAAGAGGGGAGGCCTCGGGGGGCCTTGGGTAGCCTCTTGGAGCCTTTTAGGATGGCTTGTGTATTCCTAAACACTATATGGCTTACATATAATGTTGCTGGTCATATTTGCAACAACTCCACGCGGCGGCGCTATTTTTTTAGGCTAGAGTATATTTGGACTATTTTCGGCTATGCCGACAAGATATATCGGAAGAGTATTTCTGGACTATTTTAATTGGTTTCCTGCATTTGCAGTACCTAGCGGTTGCTGCCATTGCAAGACTAACTCCTTATAGCGTTCCATCTGACGCGGCGGTGAAAGCGAACAAAAGGTGTGCTGTTCGTAATCGAGACGACGCCCGAGTCGTTCGCAGAAGCCGACGGACTTGTAGATGGCTGGGGGGCACCGTTTTGATGTACTTCTTGCGCTGCCGCCTGTTGGACAGGGTAACTCTGACGGCAGCATGATCAGAGACATCTCGATCGGAAAGTTCTTCAGGCGTGGAGATAAGCAACGGAGTGTTGAATTTCACAAGCAACCCAACCAGGTTCAGACACCCATACGCGATCGATCAGCGCCACCGTCTTGGAGTCCCTGCAGTAATGAGTGGGGTCCTCTTAGGCAACTTCGACGAACGACGCAAGCGCTGATAGCCAAAGCTGCATATGTGTTCTCGCACTGTTGGTAACACGAAGATCTCGCGCTGGAGCAGGATCATTAAGGTCCAGGGCCTCATGCGTGGAGAAATTGAAGTCCCCACAAACCACTACCATTCTTGTGGGCGGAGCCGCCGCAGCCCAAGTATAGTCTTCCTGGGTACTCTGCGTGACTTGTAGCACATCACCACGCTCCAGGCCAAAATTGTGAACATTGTAGTGCCGAAGCTCAACATGTCCACGTCGAAGAACCAAGCGCAATACTCTACCAGGGATAAGATCGAGCGGATCAGCAACGACATCAACACCCTGCGCGAGTGGAACGACTGTCGCCACGCCACCTCGCCGATGGCCGTCACGCGCCGCCTCAAATGAACCGAAGACCGAGGGCGAAGGAGCAATCCGCGACATGACGAACTGGAACTCCGCCAAAGTTTGGTGCACCTCTTGGATGGCGAAAATGGCATTCGTGATCCCAGCTTGATGAAGGTACGTGGCCTTCGCCATGGTCTGAACACCGCGCCACCGCAAGAACGCCCTGGCATTCCACGTACATAATGCGATTTGTGCTGTCTTCGGCGACTGCCCACCTTCCACCTTCGAGAGGAAGAGCACATCGTAGTGGCTAAAGACTCCATTCAGGCTCGCCGTTGTGGACGATGATGTGGTTGATGGCAAACTTGATCTCGTCCCTGGTCCAACCTCTCGTGGCGAGGGCGGTATCGTTCCAATAACATGTGGTCGCCTCCTGCCCTGGCCGTGGGTCGAGCCGAAGAATTGGATTCCAGCTTTCAGAGATCCATCCATTCTGGCGATCAAAGAACAGCTTGGCGTCGGGGTACTTCTCCCGCAAAATGGCCGCGACCTTCTTCCCTGCAATCTCGCGCTTGATCTGGAACGCGTTCTTGTCGGCACCAACGCGCAGCTGCGTGGATCCCCCTGATGCAGCTGGGACGGGGAAGCGCATCCAGTTACCTTTGCCAGGAAGACGAAGTGCTCCGAGCGCCTGAACAGCACGCCGACCTGCGATGGCGACAGGGCCTGTAAACTGCAACGTAAACAGGCGATCTTGCTCTTCTCCCTGAACTTCCCATCCGTCAATCTTTGACTTGTCAAGCCAAGCCTTGATGGAGTCGTGGACGTCCGTGCGCTTGACCATAGTGGATGCCACAATCTTGAGCACCGTCGCGTCCACTTCCCTCTGAAATCCAGAAGCAGGCGGCTTTGGAGGCGGTGGAACACGACGTGCGAGTGCCAGGGCTTGTCGAAGTTCGCCCATTTGCTTGCGCATGTCCCCGAACTCGTCGTTCATCTTGTCTGTGCGCGAGTCCAGACTGGTAACCCTGGCACTGAGTCCGTCCAACTGCGTCTGAAACCTCCGCTCCATCGCAGCCAGCTCAGGACGAAGCGAGGCCTCCACCTTCTGCTGGCAGGTAGCGGGGACGCTCTTGACGGCGTCCTCCACAGCGCGGATCGCGGCCATGACGGGATCGACGGCCTGCGCGGCTGCTGAAGATGCTGTCGAGGCGACCACCATTCCAGTGATATCATTCTTGAATGAGACGAACGTGCTGCGGAGGTGGCCATCGATGAGGCCCTTGACGTGGTCGTCCCAACCGCTGGGGTCCATGTCAGGATCCTCTTCTTCATCAGAGCCACATCTGCTGGAACGGGACCGCTCTTCGGCGCGGGCATCACGAGCGTCAGCGCCGTCATCATCAGAGCGATCCACACTACTCCGAGCATCACCAGGGAGTTTCTTCTTCCTTCGCCGCCCTCCTGCGGCTGAGGGCGCCATGAGCCGCAGGCGCGGTGCGCGGGCGCAGGGGCGGCGCGCGATATGGAAACTGGCCGCGGACTAGCGGTATCCATGCCCTGTTTGCGCAAAGCAGACATCTTGAGCCAAAATGGCTACGGAAGGAGGAGGAGGAGGAGGAGGAGGAGGAGGAGGAGGAGGAGGAGGAGGAGGAGGAGGAGGAGGAGAGGGGCAGGCCAGAGGGCGGCCGCGGGGCGAGGGCGAAGCAGGGAGAGCACTCACGTGCACGAAGACCTCCGGCAGGAGTGGCCGGTGGTGCGGCCGGCGGCTGCTGAGGCGGCCCGGCAGCGGACGTTGGAGCGGCGTCGCGCCCACACTCGGGCCGGGCGAAGGGGGAGGAGAGCAAAGGGGGGGGTTGAGAATCAGCTCGCGTAGCTGATTTTCCTGGCGCCTCCCTGCGCCGGGAGGCGCCCATGTATCGGGGAATGGGCCCGGCGGCGGGGCCGAGACCAGCTGCATGCAGCAGACTTCGTAGCCCCTCCTTTCCCTATCCCCCCCTTTCGTCTGGCCCGACGCACCCGGGGGCCGAGTCAAAGGCTGCAGGCGCTGAAGGTGTAGAACAAGTCGAACCAGTGCTGTGGCGGAGTGGCGAGCGAGCCCACCGATTCTGGAAAGAGAGCGGCGAAACACCTTTTTGATTCGCGGGTCGAGAGCGCACCTCTTCCGGTCGAAGCTAAGCGGGCCGCGCGAAGCTTGAATTAACAAAGAGGGGGGGAGGGAATGAGCGCAGCCTCACGGAGAGCGGCGAAACATCTCCGCCCAAAAACAGCATGAGCCTAAACCTCCCAAGGCCCGCGCGGATCTCTTGAGGTCGGCGCTGGACGTCCCCCTCCCTGGCGCGCGGAGCGCGCCAGGGGCGGCGCTGGAGGCGCGGGCGCCCAGCGCCGATCCAGGAGACGTACACGCGTCCCTCGGACAGTTCGCAATGCCGTCAACCCGCAGCAGAAGGACGCGGGACAAGGATGCAAGGGCCTTGGAAGGCCATGTCGGCACTCTGCGAGCGGGGCGCGGCCAGCGAAAGCGGCCAAGGATGGGCCCGAGGGAAGGATGCAACGGTGACCTTGGAAAGTTGTTCATCCCTCCCATGCGGGCGAACTGTAGACGCAGACGACAAGAAATCTGACGATGAGAAATCTGCGGGCACCTTTGCCGTCGAGCTCTGGGCCTCCTGAGGTGCACCAGGGCTTCTGTGGGCCCCCAGAGACATCGAAGGGTACGACACGTTCGCGTGGCACCTGCTGGCAGGCCAATTTCATTTTGGACGTACCTGCTGTCTTCGTAGCACGGCGAATTGAGACACGGGTAGCTCCAAATCAGTCCCCGAACCCCTGCCGGGGTCCAAACGCACCAGTTCTCCGAGCTGCGCCCAGCCGTGGCGACGAGGGGGCCCCCGGAAGGCCGAATACTGCTGTATCAACTCGTCCCCATCTGCGTTTATGCAAGCTGTTGTTCTTCGAGGAGGGCAGCGGCGCGGCCTTCTCCGCGATGAGGCCAGTCATCGTCGCCTGTTTGTGGCGCTGCGAGTCGGCCTGGCGCGGAGGCGCGGGCTTCTTGGGCGGGCGGCGGGGCAGGCAGGCGGCTCAAGGCGCCCTGTTGCCCTCCGTCTTGCTCGTCCTCCTCTTTGACGCTGCACGGACTCTGATCATATTATGTTATCCTCGCAGCGCATGGGCGGCAAGAAAGAGCAGACGACAACACAAAAGAGACGACCGACTCAGGCGAAGTAGCCCAGAAGTGCGGCTGCAAACTCACTGGGACGAAAGAGCGGCGGAGATAAAAGTAAGAAGAGGGTACGCCCGCGAGAGCGTAGAGTTAACTGAGCAGTCCCCTCCTCCTTCTCCTCCTCCTCCTCCTCCTCCTCCCCCTCCTCCTCCTCCTCCTCCTCCTCCACCTCCTCCTCCTTTTCCTTCTCCTCATCCTCATCCTCATCCTCATCCTCATCCTTCTCTTGTTTGACGTCGCTCAGACTTTGGCTACGTGGCTGAAGCGTTCTTATCCTCCTCCTCCTCCTCCTCCTCCTCCTCCTCCTCCTCCTCCTCCTCCTGCTACCGACCGCGGGTGCTGTGCACCGCTTCTTACCGAGGGCACTCGAGGCAAGCCCCCCTCGCGCGAGCCGCTGAGGCCTACACGAGCGACTCCCTGCCCGAAGATGGATCTGGTGGCCTCCTAGGAAGATCCGCCACCGTGCCGCGAGGCACGAGCTAGAGTGTTCTCAGGTCATCTGTAGCCCTCAGTCCTCAGTCCTCAGGATTGAGTAATTCGAGGGCCTTGACCCCCGATTCCTAGATCACCCCGGGCTCCCGACGTGCCTCCTGGGCCCTGGCGCGTCTTCTCGCGTGATTTGTTCGGGCTCAGGAGGGCCCCAAATGCGGCCTGACCTACAATCAAGGCACGGTGCAGGGATGGGCCGAAGGCAGCTACAGCTCCGCCGCCCCCTGTTGATTTATCACAGCGGTGCCCAGCGTGCTAAATGTCTACTGCTTCTTGGTTCTTTTAAGAGCCCCTCTGGGCTTCGGTCCATGGCGCGAGCCACCCGGAAAGCCAGCGAAAACTCATCGATCGTGGATCGAATCGCCCCCCCAAGACGGCCCAGATGGCTCAAGATGGCCTCCAAGATGCCTCCAAGACGCCTCGATGACGGCCAAGATGGCCCCAAGCGGGCCCAAGATGGCCGAAAAATGGTCCAAGATGGCCAAAGAAGCCACCAAGACGGCCCAAGATGGCTCCAAAAGGGCCCAAGACGACCCAAGAGGCGCCCAAGAGGCCCCTAAGACGGCCCGAGGGGCCTGAGGTCTTCCAGGCAGGCCCGGAGAGGCCAAACTCATGGATTTTCCTTCGGTTGTCGGCAGATGTTGGCATTTGCTTCAAAGCGGCCTTCCGACGGCACGGCCCGAGAGGCCCACAAGATCGCCCCAAGATCGCCCAAGAGGCCTCCAAGATGACCCAAGGACGGCCCAAGGGGCTCCCAAGACGGCCCCCAAAGGGCCCCAAGACGGCCCGCGAGGCCTCCAAGACGCCCAAGATGGCCTCCAAGACGACCCTGAAGCGCCCCAAGAGAGCCCCAAGACGGCCCAGAGAGGCTCCCAAGACGGCTTCACACGGCGTCAGGCGGGACAGGAACGCCGCAAGATGGCAAAAGAAGCCCGCAACAGGCCCAAGGAGGCCCCCAAGAGGCCTCCAAGAGGTCCCCAGGAAGCTCTCAGGAGGCCCCAAACTGACCCAAGAAGCTCCCAAGAGGTCTCCTCATCCATCTCCGCATCGTCCTTCCCCTGTTTCGTCCCTCTCCGCATCCTCCTCTTCCACCCCAACATGTTCCCTGAAGAGCGTGCACAACGGCTTGAGGAACGCATGGTCCACCAGCGTGGCCAAACTTTGCCCAAACGTTTGACCACATAGGCGTATCCTACAAAAGGCAGAGGGGGGCGGCGGTGATTCGCCGCAGGCGTCTTCGACAGGCACGACCGGGCCCTCGGCCGAGCAGCGGCCGGCGGGCGCGCTGCAGCGGCCAACGTTCGAGCAGGCGATCGTCTCCAGAATCGATGCACCCCAGAAGTGAAAGCTTCGTCGAGCCGACACCCCAAAAAAAACTAGCGTGCGTGCAGCTCCACGGGCCTCCTGCGCACCGCTCGCACCATCGACGAGCACGCCAGCTTTTTAGAGGTGCACCCATGTTTCGGGAGCGGCCAAGAGGGGGGTGTCCAAGAAGGGGGGGGTGCAAATCATGACCGGCGGCATGTGCGCGGCCCAGCGGGGGGGCCAGGGACGCAATGATATAAGAAGAGGCGCCATGAAACCTGGGGAACAACCGTGGCCCCCGCCACGATGTCCACCCACCCCTAGTCATCCCCCCCCTCTTTGCCGCCCCCGAGTGTTGCAGTCGATCCCCCTGCTCGAAACGTGGCGCCCCGGGGGGGCCCGCGGGGACGACGTGTGCACGCGCCCACGCGCCCCCCGACGGGCGGGACGTGTGCCCGCCGTCGGCTCGCGCGCGGGGAGCGCGGCGCCGGCCCCGCTTGGGGGGGCGCGGGCGCCCCGAGAGCACGGCGTGCGCGCGGCGCGGATGGCCACGCGGCGGCTCTTCTGGCCAGCTGTGCGGGCGGTGGAGGGGGGGGCAGGAGGGGGGGGAGGGGAGGGAGGGGGAGGGGAGGGGAGGGGAGGGGAGGGGAGGGGAGGGGAGGGGAGGGGAGGGGAGGGGAGGGGGAGGGGGGGAGGGGAGGGGAGGGGAGGGGAGGGGAGGAGGAGGAGGAGGAGGAGGAGGAGGAGGGGAGGAGAGGAGGAGGAGGAGGAGGAGGAGGAGGAGGAGGAGGAGGAGGGGTGGAGAAGCGGGGAGAAGCAGCGGGAGCAGGCGGAATGGTGCGGCCGCCTCACTTCACGGAGGCCAGCAGCAGCAGCGCCTGGTTGATGGCAAGCTCAGGCATGAAATAAGTCAGGACTGGGAACATAACGTTTTGCACGGGTCCGATCCAGCGGATGAAGAAGGACGTGCGGCGGTGGAACACGACTGCCCGCACGCAGTTCCTGTAGAACGCGGGGCACACCATGAGCTGCAAGCTGCGCCTGAAACCGTTCCACGCGTCCGCGCCAATGCACCTCAGTGGCGGTTCCTTGCGCTCTGGCGTCTTGGGGAGCGTCTCGGGGGCGTTGCCGAACCACAGGAAGCAGCAAGGGTGCAGCACGTCCAGGGCGATGAACGTGACAATGAGGATGTTGATGAACTCGGCGTGAGGCGTTAGGCCAGCCCAGAAGAGAATGTTGGTGGCGACACCGCCGAGAACTAGCAGCAGGGTCCAGTACTGAGTGATGGCCTTCGAGACCGCACCACGATCTCCTCCCACCCAGTAGCTGATGTCAATACCAAGCATCCGGTTCTTCAGAAAGTCAGAGATTCCCATGAGGATCGAGTACAGTGTGAGGGGGGCGGTAATGTAGAACAACTGGGTGGTACGCCAGATGTTTGTGAGGCTCAGGAAGAACACCTCGTTGGCCGCCATGCTCTGATCCATCCGATACCTCATCGTCGCAGATATAACCAGGGACCAGCTTAGGGCTTGGACAATCCAAGAGAAGACCATCATACCCTGTGGCTCGAAAACGTAAGTCTTTGGGAAGAAGACCGTGTAGTAGTTGAAGAACACCCAGAAGAACGCCGTCCAGAACCACAGGAAGTACGTAAGGTTATCCATGGTGATGGCAAGGCGTGCCCACTGCGCCATGGAGACTGGAAAGCGAGTCCGGCGCTGCTTCCGTTTGCGGCCGCCACACGTGGTGTGGTGAAACATGTAAGAGATCGTTGTCACTAGCATGATGACCACGACACACAGGAAGACCAAGGTAAGCCACAGCTCCACCTGCAGGAATATCTCCAGCCATTGCTGCCGCGCGAAGGCCATCGCGAATCCATTCTGCACGCACCACTCCGCCTGAGCTCCCGCAAAGTCCTGGTAGAATGTCAGCAGGCGGTCATCTCCAAGCAGCGTTTCGCTGATGAGGCGGAACAGCGGTGAGTAGGACCCGTACGCCATGACAAGAAGGGACCCCAGAAAGCTCAGAAAGAGAATGAACGTCATCCAAATCATGTGAATGCCCTGCTCGCAGCCCATGAAGGTTTGCAGCGACAGGACGACGCCACCCTCTGCCCAGCGCTGCACTGCCGCCAAGTAGTCCACTGGATCCTTGGCCATGCCGTAGGCGAGGCGCCTGTTGATGTACTGAGAGTGCTTACCCTTGACAACACGGTCCAGACTGGACGCCGTGTCCTCAACTTTGCAACTCTCGTGGAAGAAGCGGTGCTCGAAGATCTGCTGGAAGCCCTGGCGGCGCCACTCGATAGAGTCCATCTCCCATATCCGCCACCGTGCCCTGAGGCATAAGTCGGAGTGTCATCGGGTCCCGATCTCCTTGAAGAAACCCGCCGCCTGAATTCTGGGCGCCCGCGGGACGCCATCGGGCGCTGCCGCGCGCTCCTGGGAGCTTTCGGGGGGTCCCCGCGTGATGCTGCGAGAGGCCGAGAGCACGCTGTTCGGGACACGCATGTCCAACATGGCTTCGGGTGACTCTGGGGACCGTCCTGGAGCCCCGGTGGGCGCCTCTTGGGCCGTTGTGGAGGCTCTGGAGGGCGGCCCAAGAGGCCAAAACCTTACAAAAACATGTGGTGTGTATGGTTGTCGCATTCCCGCTTTTCTGGTCTTCATATCGCCCCAAAACGGCCCAAGAGCCCCCAGGGGGGGCCCAAGAGGGGCACAAGATGGGGAACACGAACTTCCATGTTGAGCCCTCCGCCCCAAAATGGCCCAAAGATCCCCCCACAAGCCGCCGACGTGCTCAGAAGAGGCCCGAAGAAGTTCCCAAGAGACCACGAGAGTCCCAAATCAAGCCCCACGAGGTCTCCAAGACACCCCCAACACCGCGTCCAAGAGACATCCGAGAGGCCTCCCGAGAGATCCTCACAGACATCCAGGAGGCCTCTGACCTACAACCCAAGCTCGGTGGCGGGATGGGCCGAAGGCCACTAGATCCGCCGCCCCATGTCGATTAATCGCAGGGGTGCCTGGCGTGCTAGATCCTCTCGGTTTGGGTTTGGATATTTTTGTTCCCACATCCTGAGTTGGGTTCCTGCTTTCCAAAAACACCCTCTCCTTTTCCTTATCCTTCTCCCGCTTCCTGTTCCACATGCCATCGCAAAACCATACATACCATACCATACCAGGCCATGCGATACCATAAGAATACCATAAGATATCATGCAACACCATATCATATGAGTTCGTATGATTCCATCAGATACCATCCAACACCATACCACATGATTTCGTATGAGTTCGTGCCCCTCCCACCCTGCAAGCAGGCCCCGCCTGAGCGAGGACAGTACTTGGATACCATGTGATGTATCAGGTTACGTGCCCCTCCCACCCGTCCAGGGAGGCCCCGCCTGAGCGAGGACAGTATTCAAATACCATGTGATTTATCAGGTTACGTGCCCCTCCCACCCCATCCAGGGAGGCTCCGCCTGAAAGAGGACAGTATTCGGATAGCATGTGATGTATCAAGTTACGTGCCCCTCCCACCAATTCAGGGAGGCCCCGCCTGAGCGAGGACAGTATTCGGATACCATGTGATGTATCAAGTTACGTGCCCCTCCCACCCGTCCAGGGAGGCCCCGCCTGAACGAGGACAGTATTCGGATACCATGCGAATTATCAGGTTACGTGCCCCTCCCACCCGTCCAGGGAGGCCCCGCCTGAGCGAGGACACTTTTCGGACACCATGCGAATTATCAGGTTACGTGCCCCTCCCACCCGTCCAGGGAGGCCCCGCCTGAGCGAGGACAGTATTCGGACACCATGTGATGTATCAAGTTACATGCCCCTCCCACCCGTCCAGGGAGGCCCCGCCTGAGCGAGGACAGTGTTCGGATACCATGTGATGTATCAGGTTACGTGCCCCTCCCACCCCTCCAGGGAGGCCCCGCCTGAGCGAGGACAATATTCGGATACCATGTGATTTATCAGGCTACGTGCCCCTCCCACCCGTCCAGGGAGGCCCCGCCTGAGCGAGGACAGTATTCGGATAGCATGTGATGTATCAGGTTACGTGCCCCTCCCACCCGTCCAGGGAGGCCCCGCCTGAGCGAGAACAGTACTCGGATACCATGTGATTTATCAGGTTACGTGCCCCTCCCACTCGTCCAGGGAGGCCCCGCCTGAGCGAGGACAATATTTGGACACCATGTGATGTATCAGGTTACGTGCCCCTCCCACCCGTCCAGGGAGACCCCGCCTGAGCGAGGACAATATTCCGATACCATGTGATGTATCAGGTTACGTGCCCCTCCCACCCGTCCAGGGAGGCCCCGCCTGAGCGAGGACAGTATTCGGATACCATGTGATGTATCAGGCTACGTGCCCCTCCCACCCCTCCAGGGAGGCCCCGCCTGAGCGAGGACAATATTCGGATACCATGTGATGTATCAGGTTACGTGCCCCTCCCACCCCTCCAGGGAGGCCCCGCCTGAGCGAGGACAATATTCGGATACCATGTGATGTATCAGGTTACATGCCCCTCCCACCCCTCCAGGGAGGCCCCGCCTGAGCGAGGACAGTATTCGGATACCATGTGATGTATCAGGTTACGTGCCCCTCCCACTCGTCCAGGGAAGCCCCGCCTGAGCGAGGAGGGTATTCGGACACCATGCAAATCATCAGGTTACGTGCCCCTCCCACCCGTCCACGGAGGCCCCGCCTGAGCGAGGACAGTATTCGGATACCATGTGATGTATCAGGTTACGTGCCCCTCCCACCCCTCCAGGGAAGCCCCGCCTGAGCGAGGACAGCATTCGGATACCATGTGATGTATCAGGTTACGTGCCCCTCCCACCCATCCAGGGAGGCCCCGCCTGAGCGAGGACAGTATTCGGATACCATGTGATGTATCAGGTTACGTGCCCCTCCCACCCGTCCAGGGAGGCCCCGCCTGAGCGAGGACAGCATTCGGATACCATATGATTTATCTGGTTACGTGCCCCTCCCACCGGTCCAGGGAAGCCCCGCCTGAGCGAGGACAGTATTCGGATACCATGTGATGTATCAGGTTACGTGCCCCTCCCACCGCCCCTCCCACCCCTCCAGGGAGGCCCCGCCTGAGCGAGGACAATATTCGGATACCATGTGATCTATCAGGTTACGTGCCCCTCCCACCCGTCCAGGGAGGCCCCGCATGAGCAAGGACAGCATTCGCATACCATATGATTTATCAGGTTTCGTGCCCCTCCCACCCGTCTAGGGAGGCCCCGCCTGAGCGAGGACAGCATTCGGATACCATGTGATCTATCAGGTTACGTGCCCCTCCCACCCGTCCAGGGAGGGAGGCCCCTGAAGCGAGGACACGTATTCGGATAGATTACCATGTGATTCTCCATGGTTTCAGTGCCCTCCCACAGCCCCCTCCCACCCCTCCAGGGACAACCCGCCCCGCAATGAGCAAGAGGACAATATCGGATACCAGCTGTGATGTATTCAGGTTACGTGCCCCTCCACCCGTCCAGGGAGGCCCCGCCTGAGCGAGGACAGCATTCGCATACCATATGATTTATCAGGTTTCGTGCCCCGTCCACCGCCCCTCCCACCCCACCGGGGAGGCCCCGCCTGAGCGAGGACAATATTCGGATACCATGTGATGTATCAGGTTACGTGCCCCTCCCACCCGTCCAGGGAGGCCCCGCCTGAGCGAGGACAGAATTCGTATACCATATGATTTATCAGGTTTCGTGCCCCGTCCACCGCCCCTCCCACCCCTCCGGGGAGGCCCCGCCTGAGCGAGGACAATATTCGGATACCATGTGATGTATCAGGTTACGTGCCCCTCCCACCCGTCCAGGGAGGCCCCGCCTGAGCGAGGACAGCATTCGCATACCATATGATTTATCAGGTTTCGTGCCCCGTCCACCGCCCCTCCACACCTACGGGGAGGCCGAATTGAGCGAGGGACAAATATCGGATACAATTGATGTATAGGTTACGTGCCCTACACCCGTCCAGGGAGGCCCCGCCTGAGCGAGGACAGCATTCGGATACCATGTAATTTATCAGGTTTCGTGCCCCTCCCACCCCTCCAGGGAGGCCCCGCCTGAGCGAGGACAGTATTCGGATACCATGTGATTTATAAGGTTTCGTGCCCCTCCCACCCGTCCAGGGAGGCCCCGCCTGAGCGAGGACAGGCATTCGCATACCAATATGATATCAGTTCGTGCCCGTCCACCGCCCCTCCCACCCCTCGGGGGGCCCCCGATGAGCAGAGGACAATATCGTATACCATAGGGATGTACTAGGTTACGTGTCCCTCCCACCCGTCCAGGGAGGCCCCGCCTGAGCGAGGACAGCATCGCAACAATAGATTTATCAGTTCGTGCCCAGCCACCGCCCCCATCACACCCCTGGGAGGCCCCACCTGAGCGAGGACAGTATTCACATACCATGTGATAAATTAGGTTACGTGCCCCTCCCACCCGTCCAGGGAGGCCCCGCCTGAGCGAGGACAGCATCCGGATACCATGTGATGTATCAGATGACGTGCCCATCCCACCCGTCCTGTGAGGCCCCGCCTGAGCGAGGACAGTATTCGGATACCAGATGATGTATCAGGTTACGTACGCGTTCCACCCGTCCAGGGAGGCCCCACCTGAGCAAGGACAGTATTCGCATACCATGTGATTTATAAGGATTCGTGCCCCTCCCACCGCCCCTCCCACCCCTTCAAGGAGACCCCGCCTGAGCGAGCACAATATTCGGATACCATGTGATTTATCAAGATACAGGCACCTTCCACCCGCCCAACGAGGCCCCGCCTGAGCCCGCGGACAGGCATTCGCCATGCCATATAGATTTCACATCAGGTTTCGTGCCCCGTTCCACCGCCCCTCCCACCCCTCAGGTGGACGAAGGCCCCGCTGAGCGAGGACAATATTCGGAACCATGTGATGTATCAAGTTACGTGCCCCTCCACCCGTCAGGGACGTAAGGGCCCCCTGAGCGAGGACAGCATTCGCATACCATTGATTTATAAGGTTCTTGAACCGTCCACCGCCCCTCCCACCCCTCCGGGGAGGCCCCGCCTGAGCGAGGACAATATTCGGATACCATGTGATGTATCAGGTTACGTGCCCCTCCCACCCCTCCAGGGAGGCCCCGCCTGAGCGAGGACAGCATTCGCATACCATATGATTTATCAGGTTTCGTGCCCCGTCCACCGCCCCTCCCACCCCTCCGGGGAGGCCCCGCCTGAGCGAGGACAAGATTCGGATACCATGTGATGTATCAGGTTACGTGCCCCTCCCACCCGTCCAGGGAGGCCCCGCCTGAGCGAGGACAGTTTTCGCATTTCATGTGATTCATCAGGTTTCGTGCCCCTCCCACCCGTCCAGGGAGGCCCACCTGAGCGAGGACAATATTCGGATACGATGTGATGTATCAGGTCACGTGCCCCTCCCACCCTGTCCAGTGAGGTGGCCCCGCCCTGAGCGAGGACAGCAGTCGCATACCATATGATTTTAGGTTTCGTGCTCAGTCCACCGCCCCTCCCACCCCTCCGGGGGGCCCGCCTGAGCAGAGACAATATTCGGATAACATGTGAGATGTCTCAGGTATACGTGCCCCGCCCACCCGTACAGGGAGGCCGCCTGAGCCGAGGGACAGCATTCGCAATAACAATATGATCTTATCAGGTTCGTGCCCCGTCCCCGCCCCTCCCAACCCCGCCGGGGGAGGCCCCGCCTGAAGCGAGGACAATATTCGGATACATGTGATGTCCATCAGGTTAACGTGCCCCTCCCACCGCTCCAGGGAGGCCCCGCCTGAGCGAGGACAGCATTCGCATACCATATGATTTATCAGGTTTCGTGCCCCGTCCACCGCCCCTCCCACCCCTCCGGGGAGGCCCCGCCTGAGCGAGGACAATATTCGGATACCATGTGATGTATCAGGTTACGTGCCCCTCCCACCCGTCCAGGGAGGCCCCGCCTGAGCGAGGACAGCACTCGCATACCATATGATTTATCAGGTTTCGTGCCCCGTCCACCAGTCCAGCGGAGGCCCGCCTCAGCCTTATGTGGGGAACTCCGCTGGCATGATCCAAAAGAACTCCCCCAGAGCCCAAATCCCGCCGGCCACTGCCCAGAGCCCGAATCCCCAATGTTTCCTCCAAGACGGCTCAAGAGGGCCTCCAAGATGGCCACGTTGGCCAAAGATGACCCCCAAGATGGTCCAAGATGGCCTCCAAGTCCGCCCAAGAGAAGACGCTTCTAAGTCCGCCCAGGAAACCTTCTAGACGGCCCAAGACGGCCCAAGAGGTGCCCAAGAGGCCTCCAAGACGGCCCAAGAGGCCTCCGAGAGAGGTCCTCCAGGAGGGCCTGAAGAGGCTAAAAACATTGATTGTCCTTAGGTGTTTAAAGGTTGTTCGTCTTTGCTCCTTTTCGGCTTTCCGCCCAAGAGGCCCCCAAGATCGCCCCCAGAGCGCCCAAGAGGCCTCCAAGTTGGCCTCAGAACTGCCCAAGAGGCCCCCAAGACGGCCCCAAGAGGGCACAAAGACGACCCAAGAGGCTTCCAAGACGCCCAAGATGGCCTCCAAGACGGCCCTGGAGCACCCCAAGAAGGCCCCAAGTCGGCCCAGAGAAGCACTTTAAACGGCTTCCGACGGCGTCAGACGGGCCAGGAGCCCACAAAGATGGCCGAAGTTGGCTTGAAGCTGGCCCAAGACGGCCCAAGAGGCCCCGAAAGAGGGCCTCCAGGAAGGCCCGAAAAGGCCAAAAACACGGATTGCCCTTTTGAAGGACTTTGACATTTGCTTCTTTTCGGCCTTCCGACGGCCCGAGACGGCCCAAGAGCCCCCAAAGATCGCACAAACAACGCCCAAGAGGCATCCAAGATGGCCCCAGAACGGCCCAAGAGGCCCCCAAGACGGCCCCAAGAGGGCACAAAGACGACCCAAGAGGCTTCCAAGACGCCCAAGATGGCCTCCAAGACGGCCCTGGAGCATTCCAAGAGGGCCAAGTCGGCCCAGAGAGACCCCCCAAACGGCTTCCGACGGCGTCAGACGGGCCAGGAGCCCACCAAGATGGCCGAAGATGACCCTAAGATGGCCCAACACGGCCCAAGAGACCTCCAAGAGGGTCTCCAGGAAGGCCCGATTTGGCCAACATCATCGATTTCCCATGAGTTGTTGAAGGATTGTGGCATTTGTTTTTTTCTGCTTTCCGACGGCCCGAGACGGCCCAAGTACCCCCAAAGATCGCCCAAGAGGCGCAAGACGGCCCTAAGAGCAAGACGGCCCAAGAGACCTCCAAGACTCCCAAGACTCCTCCTCCTCATCATCATCATCATCATCATCATCATCATCATCATCATCATCATCATCATCATCATCATCATCATCATCATCATCATCATCTCCTCCTCCTTATGTTCCTCCTGCCTCTCCTCTTCCTTCTTCCTTCGCCTCCTCCTCCTCCTGATCTTCCCCGCCATCTTCCCAGAAGTGTTCCCCGAAGGGTTTCCACAACGGTTGGGGGAACACCTGGTCCGACAGCTTGGCAGAGCTCTTGTCACAACACTCGGACACATGAGCGCTTTCAAACCTCTTGCTCCCCCACGCGTTCCCCGAAGGCTCTCCAAACCGACTTGGGAAACAACTGGCCCGCTAGCTTGGCCAGGCTCTAGCCCAGCTGTCGGCCACACAGGCGCTTCCACAAAGGCAGGGGGCGGCGGTGATTCGCCGTAGGCGTCTTCGATACTGTTCGTGCCCTTGATACCAGCACGCCTGTCCCGGATGAGCCACGTGCCGCCAGTACCACAGGAAGACACGCCGCCGCAGCAGTTACGCAACATGCAGTTCATGCGGAAGAAATTTGAATTATTAGTGTCCAGGTAGTCGACCTCGTCGGGCATCTCAGGGAAGTACTGCGGGCACTGGGTGAAGGCGACTCTGGGGTTCACTTTGTTGGTCTTCTTCATGAAAAAGAAGGGGATGGTCTCCTGCATGAAATCGGGCTGGAACTGGTGGCGGGCATCAGCGATTCCAAAGAGGCTGTACTTGAACCTCTCCTCAGGCGGCTGCTCACCATCCACTGCCTCGGGCCTCACTTCC